CTTTTTTATTTTAGTTCGTTTCATTTGAAGTGTGATTCACCTGGCTGACACTTTTCGTACCATTAAACCTTTCCAGTAATTAGATTTACATGCATAAGCAATATTACCCAGCGGCACCATTATGCCAGCGCTGAAAAAGTAAGCGAGGAGGTAATAGCTCTTCGTTTTTATTTTTCTTTGTTTTCGCCATTTGTGTTCGACATAGGCAATTTCGGGGTTGAAATTATAAAAGAATGAAGAAGAAAAGCAAAGGAGTATTAAGAATTTCTTGTTTTGCCTACATTGTATACATTTAGTCTGCTTTTGATTTTAGTGAAGTGCGTGCAGTGAACAATTTTTAATTTTTAAAATCAATGTAAAATCTAAAAATATAAATAATATATAATTTGTGAATTTATCATAAACTCACTGTAAGTATATGCAAAATTAAGTAAATATATTTAAAATGATAATTGAAATTTTTGTTTTGTATTATGTAGATGCTACTGTGTCAAGAACGATTAATTGACCAATGTGCTGCGAATGCAGTCATTCTAAAGCAAGGGGTAAAATGTAGTCAGCTGTTTCAATTGGAAAATTTTACAATTCAAACTGAGGAGGATTTAATTCAATTTAATGAAGAAATCACTGCCGTTGAAGTAGTTGTAAGTTAAATTATATATGTTTCTTACTTTCAATTTCAACTTATTAATATTTTCACATGTAACAATTTTATTAACTCATACATTTCTTTTCATCTATTACGTTATTTATAGGCTGCATCAATAAGACGCGTTATGTTATTGACAAACAACTAATTACCCAAAAAATTGCATGGAATTTTGGAGAAAGTATACTCATAACTAATGGTATGGTATATTGTACATAATTTACTTTAGTGTATACAATAACATACTTTTGTATTTACAGTTGCTTTAAGGACAAATGGTAAGCCGGAACAAGTGATCGAGTCGAGTCTGGAAATCTCTTCAAGGTTCTAATAACAATTTCACAGAAAAATATTCTTTTATATAAATATGTAAATATGTTATATTTTTTATGTAAATATTAATATTTTAATTTTATAAAACATAAATATAAAATATAATTTATCCAAAAAAAATTTATAGTATTTTATTTAAAAATCAATAGCATAGGTAAAATTTAAAAGGTAAGCGAACATGTCAGCGCTGATATGTTGCATTACAAATTCGAAAAAGTAAGCTAACATGTCAGCGCTGATATGTTGCATTACAAATTCGAAAAAGTAAGCGAGCATGTCAGCGCTGAAATGTTGCATTACAAATTTGAAAAGGTAATCGAACGATTCAGCGCTTGCCCGCAATGACATGCACGTGTTAAAGTAATTAGGAGTTTCCTTTGAATAATCAGCGCTAGGCATTACCATTCAGCGCTGAGGGAATCGATTCCCTCAGCGCTGAAAGTCCCGCTGGGTAGTAGCGCAGTGTGTTGAGCATGGATCGTAACACTTTTTTGTTTTTCATCTATATATATACATATATATATATATGTATATCATATAATGTGTAAATAAATCAGTGAAGACCAAAACACAGCCAAATCACATTTAGCGATTCGAATTGCGTTTGATTTTAATTTAAATAAAATTAAAATTTTTTCTTTTGCCTAACTCGACATGCAGTCGATTCGCAAATTTATTATAAACAAATTCATTAAATAAAATGAAATAAAATTAAATAAAATTTTGTTGTTTTGTTGTTTCGCGATTTTACGTGTTAATTGATTAATTTCCATTTAAAAAGAAAGATATATTGAGATTCATATTTCATTTTAAAAATATTTGCGGACGTTTTGAAAAACTGAAAACCTAATAGGTTTTACAAGGTAAATATTTAACAATACATGTGTTAATTATATATCTACAAAATTAAATACATATATATATATACATAAGTGTATACATATAGAGTTAATAATCTAAGCTTAGACGTAAGCTTAAGTATGCAAAATAAAACGATTTAATAAGTAACTCGAGCTGTCGAGTTGCCGTATCTTTTACTGAATTTATTTACCTTACCATTGAAGGACACCGAAAATGTGTTTTAGTCTGAATTTGTTTTATAAGAGAACAAACACAACAGAAAACAAGTTTAGAAAATTTATTTTATTAAAAATGCAATACAATTCAGTACTGCAATTAAAATTTTTTCCTCACTTCGATTTGATTTGTGGGTGTGTTCGATTAACTATCAGAAAAAATTCAAAAGAATTTAGAAACACTTAACATATAATTAACGTAGACGTGATACTTAAATGTAGACAGATTTTTATTACTTCACACTCATGTATAATTTGAATTAAAAATAAAATGTGAAGTAACTTTTAATAAAAATTACACAGAATTGGAAATTATTGAAAACTAATGGTATAATAAATAAGTACTTTAACTCATAAATGGATAAGTGCTTTTAGAAATAAAATTTCTACATAAAATTATATTGCTTTTCATTAAGAAATTAATATAAACATTAACTTTTAAATGCTACTTTTACAAACGAAACTCCACAGGGAACTACCTAGTATATGTGGACGACAACTGCTTTCTTTCGTATTACTACTACAACTAGTACTATTGTCTATTTCCTCCAGTCGAGCATAGGGCCTCAATAACTCTTTTAAATCTGACTATTTACTGCTTCTCTGTAGATGTCGTTCTATGTTTATCATGCTTCAGCTAGTTTACTTTCTTCTCCATGTTTTCGCTGGCACGCCAGGTCTTCTGCTAACTTGTGGATTCCGTGCCAAAGCCTGCCTCGCTATGTTATCTCTCGGTTTTCTAAGGGTATGGTCTATCCACTTCTATTTTCTCATTTTGTTTTACTTTTTGAGTTGTTTGGTTTAACAGGCGTTAATTGGATACTTGATCTGACCATTGAATTCGATGTAGAAAAATACTTACATCCTTCTCTATATATATCTGGAGTGCTTCCATGTTTCACAGCCGTAGTGCAATATAGATTTCAGATTTGTGTTAAAGATTCGCAGTTGTTTCTATCTCCTGAGTTCATTGCATCTCCATATGTTGTTTAGTTTGCCAAACACGATTTTCGCTTTGTTGATCCGATCATAAATATCTTCTTTAGCTCCGCTCTTGTTAAACATAATGCTTCTCAGATAGGTAAAATAGTTTACACATTCAATTTCCTCTTCACCATTCACATGCAACCTTACATTTTGAGCTGCGCTGTATCCGCTCGCCATGGTTTTTGTTTTTTCCGTACTTATCCTTAAACCGGCAGACCCTGTTTGTTTGCTTATGACGGATATCATTTGTTGTGATTTATCATGTCTGTGACTTAGCAGCAAAACACCATCGGCGAATTCTAGATCTTGTAGACACTTAAACAGTCCCCATGTGACACGCCTGGTATTTTTTCTTTCTTTCGTACAGGTTGTGCGATTTGAAGCTAATCGCACGGGGGTCATGAGAGTGTAACTACAAACAACTGGGCCTATATTTAGTCCCATACTGAATGTAGGATCACCACAGTTACTATCTGGAATATATGATAGCTGCGAGTTGAGATAATAGGTTGAAGTCCAGTAAATGTTACTTCTACTTTATAATAGATGACTATCTAGTCCACTGTATATTACCTATACTTCATAAAAAATGGTCATCTTATCTATGAAAGGTAACAGCTGTGGTGAACTGTGCTACTTTTATATAATTCAGTTTATTAATTTTTACTACAATGATACGTAATTCATTATCGGTTTTAAGTGAAATGGGTAGCACTTAAATAAATATATACTATATGAGTTACTGTATGATATATTAGTGAACGAATTGTTTTTAAACTATAACTTTTGATATAAATTATTTGGCAGAATAATATAACACCAACAAACTCTTAAATCGCCATTAACCTGTACTAGTTTTCATTTAATAAATAACAATTACGTACAAATAATTTGACAAATATACGTTAATCTATGCTAATTAATTTTAACTTCTTTGTAAACAACAAATTCTGGTGTCAATATTAGTTTATCATTCATAAAACTGTGGGAATTACGTGTACGCCCTACCACAATATATATTTCTTGCTCACAGGTTATTCACAAAAAAAAAAATAAATAAATAAATAAATTGATGTACATTTGACCTTGATTATCCTATTAAAGGCTATGCGCCTGGCAAATCGTGAGAAAAACTATAACAATTTTTCAGTCAAGTGGGAATTACGTGTTCCAACAATGAGTTGGAGAAATTACACCCTTCACAGCAGCCATCGCTACCGTCACGTTGCTTATCAATAAACACCAGCGAAACAAAGCGGTGTCGCAAACTAACATATACCTCATACCAAAGACATTATGTGTAAGCATGTTTTCTAAGACAATATGGATGGCAGTGATAGGGAAAACCATGTACGTGATTTCCACACCATTTTCACACCAAAAAAAAAAAAAACAAAAACAAAAATGGAAAAAACAGAGGAAAATAACAAAAGCAAATGTCTTTATCGCTACAATAACAGAACGAATAATGAGAAATACTCAATGAAGGCAAGAAATGACAGCTAATAACATTGCTTAGCCTCTTCGGCACCGGCAAACCGCTAAGAAAATCTTACGCACTAGCACAGCACATCAGCTTGCCTCAGCGTACTTACCTGTTCCCAAGTCTGTGTAAATTAATTTTCCGAATGAGCCACGATTTTCCGAATGAAAATAGGTAAAAAGTGACAAATCATTTTCCATTCTATTCACTAGACGTTGTCACTCAGAAAAAGTACGTCGCCGGCTGAAGTACCGTCAATGGAAAAATAGTGACAAAACAGATTTTGCATTGTAATTTTTTTTTGTTAAATAACATTGAAGAGGTGCTTAAAAACTATAAGAAAAAACTTTCTGTGTTATTATTGTTAATTATATTATTTTTTATGTGTAAAGTATACACTACTCTACTCGTACATATAAAGAAAAAGTTGTGATAAATTTATAAAAAATTTAATGTTGTTTTTCTCTTCCAGATCTTTCGTTTTTATTGCGTTATCTGTGAATTACGAATTATTTGAATTTTATGCTGCCAGTGTCAAGCAATATGCACTTAATTGCAGCAGGCCCATCCCTTTACTGAGAAAGGGGGGCTCTTCAGTCACATTGCACTGAATCATCAACAACAAATGATCAAATGATCAAATGAACAGATGAACAGATGAAGCAACAATATTAGTAACAATAAAACTATTGTCAACAAATGGAATTGTGCAAATGAACCACCTTGCTGCAGTGTGTCCTCAACTATAACGTCCACAACAAGTAACGTCGAAATAATTGGAAAGAAAATTATATAAAAAAGTAAAAAAAAACCAGTCAACAAATTATATCAATTATATGAGCAACAATTACAACAATTACAATAGTTGACGCAACAAACAACAGCAACAAACTTAATTTAAAAAACAAATTTAGAGAGAAAAATGCATAAATTACAAGCTCTATTAAGCTTAGACGCTGTCATGCTAATTAGCGCGCTTTTACTGCTCACATTGCAGCTACACCTCTGCCCTGCGAGCGCTTGGATGCCCGATGTACGCCCAGATTTGCAACCAAGTAAGTTGGAATTCATTGTTTTTTTTCTTATTTTTTTTGCATTTTTTGATATAATTTTACTTATTATTTATTTACTGTTTTAATTTGGATCTGTTTTGCAATAATTAACATTTCCTTTTGTTTGCAAATAATTTATTATTTTATTCTAATTATATTACAGAACAAGATATTATTATCGCCAAGTTCTTAGGAAATACAACGGATTATTTTAAAATTTTGGATCATGACGATGCTACCATGCTAGTTGGAGCAAAGTAAGTATTTGCATAATAAAAACTATACACTTTTTAACAATAGAATATAGTATATACCATATTAAAGCATAGAAGCAATATTGTAGTTGTAGCCCACAACGACCTGAAAGCAATTATATAAAGGATTGTCACAATACTACCCAATTAGGTGGGGTGGGAAAATGTTATGGAGTAAGAAAAAAAAAAGAAACAAGTGAATGCTTATCTCTAACAAGTTTGAAAACTCTGTAAACTAATTAGAAACGTGGACTTACAGAACTCCACACAAAATTCGACAGAATGGAAGATAGATATTCTTCTATCTTAGAAGAATATTATTTGTCAGAAATTTGGTAACAAAACTATGAAAAATCGCTAATTGAGGTACATACAAAGTTATTTGATAACCTGCCACTGCAACTAACCAATCACACAGATGCAATATATTTTTCGAAAGTGGGGTTGCACTACAATACAGTTCTCAATAGATCTTAGTCTACCATTTCCCAAGAAGAACGACGGCTTCCGCATGCAGCAAGAAGTATCCTAGCTCAATTTAAATCAGAATATAGCCATATACTTAACAAATACTTGTCGCACATAAATGCGTTGATTTCTAATGCGCCCTCAAAAAGGAACTCTACCTTCCATAGTACCACCTATTTGTTTACCTGCCCCAACGCGCATACTAATCTGAATCCAATCGACATTTAGACACGCTCCATAAAAGTGGAGTTTTTCCGTCTTGATGGTGGTTGATTTCAATTTAAATCCCACCCATTCACATATTGACCCACATATTCGTGATATGATTTCTTATATGTACTTTGTTTTATAGATCTTTAAGGGTTGTTACAACAACAACATGAACTAATGAGTCTAGCGGTCATTCTTAACTCCGATCGTTTCCTTTTTCTTATTAACAGCGTAAGTTGGTTTAAAACTAAAATTTTTTTGACTAGGCTTGAGATATTAAAACAGCACTTTTACGCTACTTGGATAGAAGAGGAAAGTCTGCAGTAACTAAACCGAACTAATCAAGGGAGGAATAACACTAAAGGAGTGCTTAAGAATATTGAATCTAACATAAGTTTAGATAAAGTTGCCAACGAGAAGGACCCATAAATCAAAAGAACTCAACCAAGTTAGCAATTATGTTAAAGGAATAGGTAGGATTATTGAATCTAAAGTGGGTTCAGAGAGGGATCTTGTCACTTTAAAGAAGGGGAGCCATAAATCAAAAGCGCTTAAGCAAGTTAACAGTAAGGCTAAAGGAATATGTAGGGCTATTAAATAGGAGGAGCTATTAATCAAAAGAGTTTAAAGTTGTGTGTGAATTTAGACATGAAAACAAATTGGAGACGTTGTTTGGAATAAAGCTGTACAGCGGGGACAAATTGAGAATATATTTATTCTACGTCATAAATAACAGTTTAGCATTTAGTTAAATTCTGATTGCAACTTAAGAGGAACATGTCGTGCTGTACGTGGGCGATTTCTTTCATTCTTACGAATATCAGGCGGAAATCTTTTGTAAATCTTACTGTTAGATAACCGTTATTTCGAAGAGGATACTGTTTCGATATTGAACATTGAAGTTATCTCTGAAGGAGTCGTTAAATTAATGTTACGAAGAAAGGGTACATTCACTGTGGCGTCATTTGGATGTCCACCTGTGCAGCGCGAAAGGAGATATATTAATTAATAGCAAATTTTGCTCCCAAACAAGAAAAATTTTAGATTCCGCATAAAGATGATTAACATTCGACACGTGATGACAAGATATACCAACATTGCGCTATCGTTAATATTTAATTATAAGTATATATAAAGAAAAAAATTTCGCGAACTTGTCGTTACTTATTTGGGGTGCATGTGTTCCCAAGTTTGGTTCTTTCGAACCAGGTAGTACCTTGGTTTTAACGACATTTACTTCAAATAACAATATGTGCTGTTACGTTCTCAAAAGTGTTATTTTTCCATATACCTGTAATTTTCATTCATAAAAATATAGATATGACCATTATAGCATTTCATTATATATATTTGTAACTCGCAAGTTATTCAATAAAATAACAGCGCAATCGAGCACATTTAACCTTCATTATCTCACATTATATATGACCTTCATTGTCCCTTTAAATACGATGTACCTCAATAACCATAAAATATTTTACTAAATAGTTTTTTTAGAATGAACCCCAGCTTAGCTATTGTAAAGACAAAAGGTTAAAAAGATTTTTAAATTCAGATTTGGTAATATAACACAAGCAACTATATTATTATTATAGCTAAACATAAGATTTGTTAACTGCTTAATATCTAATCGGTATTGTAATTCAATAATATTCTTACGAATGATATTCAAAGAGTTTCATTTGTTTCTGTGAATTAGACTATTGAGTTATATATTGTTGTTACCATTGTCACCCATCGTGGATTTCGCGAAGTTTGGGAGCCTAAATAGAAGGAAACTACACAAAGTTTACATTTTGAGAGAGCGAGAGGGAAAAAGGTGAGAATTGTGATGGAACTTTGAGAGGAGGAATATGATAATCACAGATAAAAGGAAAGGTATTGGGATATGGATATTGGGTTGTAATCTATATTATGACTTCGAAATGATATACTATAGTTAGTTGCTGTTATCTCGATGAGATAAAGACAAATGCCATTTGGGCTGATAAGGGAATGTGACGCCGCATGTGACAATAGTTTAACAATGGACGGATTGTCATGAAGAGTATACGTTCAAGTCAGCTAAATACTAGTATGTGACGTTTAACAATTAAATATTTAAACAGTGACTTACGGGGAGTTGTAGAACAGTTATAAATGTATTATTTCGTAAGAAGTAACTATTAAGCACATACTGGAGATATATATCCCTGACTTTACTATACACTAAGTTGCTTGTTTGAAAGAATTCTCCGAGAAAATTTGTTTCTCTTCCTTAAAAATATAAGGCAGAAACCTATTGAGCTAAGATCTCAGCTGTAATCCATATGGAAAGTTAAAGAAGTTACTGCATTGCTGCATTTAATCATTAAATTAATTAAAAGACTCTAAGCTGGAGTAAAGAAGTGGAAGTTACTTATATTTTTGCTTACATACATATTTATTCGCTTACTTTCTATAGACTTACTTATTTTTATCATATCTTTGTAACTGATATATCTTTGTATCTGATCTGTAATTTTTATTGTACATAATTCCTTTATAAAGAAACTTTCTTATAAATAATGAATTTGTAATTTCTTTTAACAGAGATGTTATCTACAATATAAGTCTAAATGGTTTACTTGAGAATAGTCGTTTGGAGTGGTACTCATCAGATGCAGATCGTGAACTTTGTGCGCTAAAAGGTAAACACGAAGCAGACTGTCACAATTACCTGCGAGTTTTTGCACGTGTTAGTGATGGCAAGATCTTGATATGTGGCACCAATTCGTACAAGCCGCGATGTCGTCACTATAAACCACTAAGCGAAGTAAAACCAAATACAGCGCCTAAATATGAGATTGTGTATGATGTTGAGGCTCAAGGTCTTTGCCCCTATAGTCCAGCACATAACAGCACTTATGCATATGCAGATGATCAGC